TCAAGCTGGAGATGTGGCGTGTGTGTATATATGTGGTCCTATGTATATAACTTGCCCTGTATGAGGTGGGTTTTTTTATGTATAATGATTGAAGGTTTTTTGGAACGTGTATTGTATTCAGTCTATTTAATGCTGTGCTTTTTCCCATTTTTTATGTCTTCCTGTTCTGCGTCATCACAACTGTTGTGAGACTAACTATGCTAGATTCTCATCAAATCATTCAGAAAGTTAAACCCTTTGAGTCTAATTTTTCTCTTTTATATTTGATATTTTTGGGTTAGGTTTATTTTGGTCATCTAAGTATTGTCTGTACAATTATTTTTTTATATTGTAAATCTGAATGTCTGTGTTAAACCATTGTATAATCTCTTTCTTGTAGCTTTGACCTGATATTAATAATTCCATTTTCATTATCTTCTTTGAATTGTTAACCGGAAACTATTTGAGAACAACAGTGTAAGAAATTGTGTTTTGTCTACAGTTAGTGTGAACGTTAGTGTGTAACGTTCACACTAACTGTATATATATATACAGTTGTATTTGTATATTTGTATACAGTTAGTTAGTGTGAATTGGCTACCATTCTCAGCACAGGGCAGTAGAACACAGTAAAGCAATCATGACTTCTTGACTGACTGTACCATAAAAACGTATGGATGCCTTATGTGCATGCACAGAGTGGTACCCGGATTGTGGACGTTTGTCATTTAAAGAAACAACCACGGGCAGTCCACTGCGGGCTCACCATAGCCCGTGCTACTTGGAACTTGGTATTCCTGGTAGCGAATCTTAAACAACAGCTCCACACCGATAAAGTTAAGGACCTCCTATACTCTCGGTTACTAGCAACGGGGGGGGGGGATTTTAGGGGTTTGTTTGTTGCACACCCAGGATTAATTGAGCTGTTAGATGAAATTAAGAGATTAACTATAATACGGAGACACCTATAATAGTGAAAAATCTAGAAATATTGCTCATACCGGTGATAAAAGAAACGAAAATAGTAATAGAACTCCCCCCCCCCTATAATGAACATGGTATAATGTGAGTGACCTCCCTCGACGAATGGGGGAAAAGGGTGCACTGTGTCACTGCAAGGGTGACCTCCTTCGCTGCCAAACAAGAGGCAACAATGACACCATAACTGTGATAGTGACATTTGACTGTCAGCTGCCGTGTAGAGAGGCACAATCTCTTCTTCTTCATGTTTTCTCTTAGTAGAAAGAAAATGGGCCCGCCACCTTTAACAGACCAATTAAGAAAAAGAGAAAATTGGGTTTGTCGATGACCTTTTTTTCATTTGTTTTGTATTCCTCTCAAGAATGTGATTGTATATCGACTCTGTGAAGGCGGGGTTCCAGATAGTTGTATATGTAATATTTCTTCTACCTTATAATTTGTCGTAATAACGATATAATGGTAAAGAATGCTTTACAAGACACGGGCATGGCAGTTCCCCAACCCAGAGGCCCCTCATTCCACGAGAACAGCTCCTGGTGTTCAATAGGGGGAACGCCAAGGCCACTTTGACAATCCTGTATGTAAAGGGTTAGGATATAATTGCTACTGTTACTTAGTATTAGTTATTTAAAGAGAAACTAGTTACACGAGCTCACGAACCTATCATACTAACATTAATTAAACAATTGTTATTACAATTTGTTTTCGCTCTTGGAACGGGTGCTTGCTATTACATAGTTTTTTCCTAGTTGTCCCGTCTCATCCAATGGCAGGAAACGCAATATACTCAGTCTGCAACCACTCTTGGTTCATATTTCTTTGTTAACCCTCTTCCCCAATTGAGGGAAGATCCACGTGTATACTTTGAGAGTCGCAGCAGCAGCAGCAGCCACAGCAGTAGCTGTAGCAGCAGCAGCAGCTGTAGCAGTTGCAGCTGAAAGGCGACTGTCATAAAGATTGCTATTTATCAACGTTCTTGCCATATACATGAGTAAGGCAGGACTGAAGTATTTCTGATTTCCCTAGCCGGGTCTGCAGCTTCCTGATGCTCACAACGCGATCAATACACTTGTTTGTTCTGGAGACCTATACTTTCCCAAGATTTCTTTGATTTCTTTGAGTGGTCGTGGCACAATTCATGGCGCATCAATTAGGATATATTTATATATATATATTACTTTTATATTTCTAAAAAAACAAAAATTATACATTTTGACTGGATTATTGTTACCTAAAAAATATCCAAACATCTGTGCTGCGCATGCCTCTCGTCTCCTCATGTGTGTGTGTGTGTGTTAAACTACAAGTAGTTCTTCATTGCGAACCATCTAAGCGTGCCCTACATGTTATTGAAACCTTTCCCTTTCCCTTTCCCCCCTCTACCACCACCCATGGATAGCTGACCATGAGAGGAAATAATTCCTACCCCAGGTGGTGCCAAGTTCACCACTTTCCCACCCCCTTCCCACTGCCTCCCTCCCTTCCTCCCTCCAAAACAAACCGTATCCATCTCCTCCCTATTCCGTATTAATCCCCCTCCCACCCCATTTCCCTCTTGTTATTATTATTCACTGTGAATAAACCACTTGCGCCAGGACACCCACTTATTCATGATGAGAGCCAAGTTTGCAGCCTCATCCGGCAATATCTCAACCTAATCTGTTCCATTTCATCATTTTCAAGAGTTTATCAGTGTACATCATGGTGTAAAATAAGTCTCGACCTGTTAATTCCCTCAAAACTACAAAATCTAGAAAATGATTCTACTGAAATATGCTTAAAATATGTACATATATAAATATATACATTATTAGTCTTTACAAAAAAAGAACCCAAGGTCTTGCTGTCATCTCTCTTTGCCAATGATGTGTGTGAAAGACGATTCTAATTCACCCTTATGCTCAAGGACGAAAGAGGTCAAATTAAGGCTTTCCTGAGGCTTCTTCCTCTTGGAAATGAAACTCACCTTTCGAGTTAAGCGTCTTCCAAGAGTGTGTTGAACGCCTCCAAGATTAGCTTTAGTAATCTCCTCGTCAAAATACAGGGTGGAACCATAGTGAAATTGGTTTAAAAATTTCCAGTCTGCATGTCGTGTACAGAACGAACACTATCGCCGTTAACGAGGTTAGAGTGGTTAACGCTATAGCTCTCAACGAAGTTAGGATGGTTGGACTTATTGTTGTCAGTGAAGAGAGGATGATTGATGCTACAGCTGTAGACGAAGAGAGGCTGGTTGCTCCAATAGCTACCAGAGAAGATAGGATGGGTGAATGGTAAAGAAAATTCATGGTTACCGGAGAAGGGACGACGGAACTGACCTAGGTTCAGCGAAGCTCTGACGCCCAGGTCAGAGTTTGACTCAATAGGCGTTGAAATCTTAGCGGGTGACGTTAGGGGTGTAGTGAAGAACAGAGGCTAAGAGACAGAGGAGTGAGAACAGAGGTTAGTTCACTGACTAGCGGTAGAAGAAGAGGAGCTAGCAGACTGAGGAAAGAATTACCATGATTTAGAAGTAGATAGAATAATCGTGTATAGGCAAAAAGAGTATACAAGACAGATTTATCAATCCATGAGTATGTTTCTGGTGCGTGAAAGGTCTTCAGAGTGAGAAGTTTAAAGAGGGTGTAGAAGAGTGAGAGAAAAGAGAGAGAGAGAGAGAGAGAGAGAGAGAGAGAGAGAGAGAGAGAGAGAGAGAGAGAGAGAGAGAGAGAGATAGAGAGAGAGAGAGAGATCCATCAGTTGCAATATTGACTTGGCATATCTGAGACCAAGACCTTGTATTTGCCGTAGAAGCTACGTGTATATCTTGCTTTATTCAATACCATTGCTATATGCGTTGTCAAAAAAAATTATTTAGTTCCACATGTGCAGAGAAGTTGCCATTGTTTGATTTTTATCTGTAATTTAGATTTTCAATAAAGATTGCCGACTTCTGATTAAAACTGTCTTTCATTCCAAATCCATTTAATGCATAAATCCTGTGATTGAGTTGTCATATCTCCGCAAGTTTGTTTATATATATATATATATATATATATATATATATATATATATATATATATATATATATATGCAAGAAAGAGAATTATAAAAACCCAACAATATACTTCAAAGAAGACGACAGTTAATGTATGAACAAGTGAGTCGAGCACTCCAGGCCTCTAAGCTGAGGTCTCATTCTAGCAATTGAGATAATTCCCAAAATGTTAAGTTCAAACCAGTAACCCGTCCTCAGACCATGTCCATTCCATCCCGCGGTCGACCCCAAAGACGTATTCATAAATTTTAACATGATGTTCATTCAAAACAGGAATTTTCTCAAATATATATTAATGTTGTTATATATTATCATATTGTGCATATTTAGGCATTGGTTAGGTTAGGTGTTTAGGTTCTTTTGGCGATTACTTGTATTTGTAGTACGTGGGTGAAGCATTTACAGCGTTGTGGTTCGAACAAAAGTCGTCAGCGAAGCACTTGTTCCGGAAGTGTTCGAACGCCATCAGTTGTGAGTCGTGTGTAACAGCCCGTCCTCCAAACAAAGGCGCAAAGTCCATTCCATGCATCCGCCAAACCCCCTGTTTATGAATGAAAAACGGTTTACACACGACTCACAACTGATGACATTCGAACACTTCCGGAACAAGTGCTTCGCTGACGAATTTTGTTCGAACCACAATTCCATAAATGCTTCACCCACGTACTACAAATACAAGTAATCGCCAACAGAACCTAAACACCTAACCTAACCTATACCTGACTATACACTTATTTTTTTTGCATAATAATATTTCATTTATATATGAGAAGAAACCTATTTTTATTACACAATATGTTAAGATTGCTGAATGAGTCTCAAGGAGGGGGAGAGAGGGGAGGGGGGGAGAGTGGCGACCTCTCATCTAACGAGCCTGGCCTGAGGACGGGGCAGTTTCCGGCGTGACAAACGAGCAATCAGAACAACGAAATCGCTGCAGGTGAAAGGGGGTGGCCGCTATCCTCGCTGTGTTGTGCATAATAGCGGACCAGACAGCATTGCCTAAGAGGCAGAGCAGGACGGTAAGAAACGTCTATATGTTCACAAATACGGTGTTTAAAGTCTCGTGAGTAATCGAGCAATGCAGTTGGAACATTTAACAGATGAACAACAGTAGATATGTTGTGTCAGCAAGGTGGACAGCCCGCCTGATTTCATACCTTTCACTGTATTTCCCACTTCGAAACTTCCCTTCACCTATGCCTCTCCTTCCTCTTTACTCCCCCCCCCCCAAAAAAAAAAAAAGATCGGTTGTTCATCTGTTATATACAAATGTCTTCGTTTTAAGACAGTACAGGATGTTTTCGTTTTAAATAGCTCCCAATGGTGTAGTTGTTACGGTACACGAATTGAAAACTTATTTGTGGATAAATATGCCTGAGAATATTCCGTAGTTCCTTCCTAATGTATTAGTTTACAGTGCCTAGATACGGGAATTTAACGTAATGTACGTCTTTGTGGAACTGGGAACCTCCACCATTGGTATAAATTTTTTATTTTACAATCTACTCGGAATTAAATTAGAAACAAAATCATGCGAATACTTCCGTATCAAATTATTTATAATTAGTACGCTAATTAGGTTATAAGCTGTATTTATTAATAACTTTTTGATTGTATGCAGTTTATATAGTTTTGGACAAAGACTAAGTTAATGCAAAGAATGTAGATTTATGGCAAACTAACACAAGAAACTAACCTCCACTGTTAGTAATAATATTTCAAAAATAGTCAAAAGTCAAAAAGTCAGTTTAGAAAAAAAAGTAAAAAAAGTCAAAAGTCAAAGTCAAACAAAAGTCAAGTTTGAGTCAAAAAAAGAGTTTAGAATTTTACTCAATTTCTTAAGTAAATGCCAAGTCTCAATGTTTAGAATTCATCTACGAAGAAAACTTCTCAATTTGTGAAAAATCCTTAAAGATAAGAAAGATGCCTTCCACTAACCAACAATACAAAAATAGGCTTGAATTCTGCCGGTGATATATATATATGCATATTTTTCTCGAAATTACTTTTACAAATTACCATAAGATCGGTTCACTGTCAATTACAAAAATACCCCATCTATTTGTGTAAACAGTTTACCATAAAAATAAAAAGCTTCTGCTTTTTATTTTGCAGATGTTTCGCTCTCTAATAACTTACCAAGATGCTTCCTGTTTAAACCAAAATTACACGAACCTTCTCAAGATAAACAATGAAGTATCAATTGAGATGTTTCTCCTAAGTGGGATATTTGTGAATAGAATCCAACATCCAAACTCGCTTTTGAAACATAATTATTAAATTTTACGAGCTCCGATTTCTTTAACAAGTTGAGAAATATTCTCAATCGTATAATTATTTGTAATACAAGTTGCACTTAGAATTGGTACTTAAAAAGTTGCTAATTTATGGTTAAAAGTACCAATAGAAGACTGGACAACCCTGTTTCTGAATTTTGGGAAGACCAATAAAGTTAACCTGGTTTAAAGCCCCAGGTACATAATAAATTTGATCACCTACTTGACTTTTAATGTCTTAAAAAGCTATTTAATTTGAGTTCAAGCTTTAAAACTTGAGACACGTCACATTTCAATCATCTGAATTTAGAGAAGTCCCCCGAAGAAACTATTAACCTAAGTATTACAATAATCAATTATATTTTAAGTTGTACCGCTCCATAACCTTTATCACGTCTGGTAAATATATGATTTTCATCATTCTTCAATTTGTCAAAATATCTATATATTTAGAATGTTCTTTCTTTTCCTGAGATATTGATTTACATCCATTCTTATAAGAAGTTTTAAGCACGGCAGATATTTTATGGCAAATAGAGTTAAAACTCTCAGAGCCATACTTATTACTGACCAGTAATTTATGACTTAAAATTTTGAACCCAAGGACAATTATTGTTACGGTTATTTCCACTATATTTGGTTTATACTTTTACTGTCGTCTTCGACTTTATATATATATATATATATATATATATATATATATATATATATATATATATATATATATATATATATATATATATATATATATATATATATATATATATATATATATTTTTTTTTTTTTTTTTTTAAATATAGGAAGGGAGTACCACCTCTAGCTGGAAGAAGGGGGACCCATAGCCTCGGAGGAAACCACGCATTAGAGGGAATGTTTAGATCCCCTCCAATACAGTTTCTGTGTGCTTTTCTCCTACCACCCCCTTCCTTTTTTATTTTTTGTGCTTTATTATGCATTTGATGGTTACAAGATATACATGGGTTGATACAAAAATAATAATGCAAAAAGGTGCTTAAAGGTTATGGATCTCTTGAAAAACACAACAATGGGAAACATTGATGAATGTCACAGACGGGTTCGATCATTGTTGCAAGTCAAACACTTCTTCGAATTCCTCTGAAGTTGGACTAGTGCCCAAGACGCAACAGGCATTTCCCCTCTGAATCGCAACACTGAGGCGCTGGAACAAGAAACTTTTTGCTCTCTGGTCTTTTGTAGCGCTGATCAATTTATCCCCCAATTCCTTCAGGAACTTCAATGCACATTTTCCCCACGAACCGAGGGTCTCCGAGCCGATCGGAACAAAGCTGTAGCAGTGTGCTAGACCTCTGTATTTAATAATTTTCTGCGATTCCCTGAAAGAAGCAGCACCACCGCTTTCACGTGTGCTGTAGTGGAGGTAGGTACTGGCCAGTGTGGCAGCGCACGTGTAGTCCCATACCACTTGCTTACCATCCTTCCAAGGTAGCAAGGTGACCCCATCAGGGCGCTGCTGAGGGTCGTTAGGTCTGGATAAGTGTGGTTCTCTTTGTGCCGGGCAGCGGGCTGTGGCGAGGCTCCTCTTGATGATGTCGTTGACTTCTTCATGTCTTGCAATTTTACCCTGTGATTTACGACATACCAGACCATGACGACCATATTGGTCTGCCATCGCAGTTCCGCAGATGCACCTATGTTCGGTGAGGATGGGGGTGGCAAGGCGAAGGGCAACTCCAATGCGGAGAGCGTCATGACTGAGGCGAGTTCCCAGGGCTGCATTGGGCACAGCAAATAAGAAATCCCCGGCGTGGGGTGCTGTTACCGCTAGAAGGCGGGCTTTGTTTTCAGCATCAGCGTTGTCAATCATTGCTGTGACAGTCTTTTCCATTATGGGGCTATCCCAGTGGGCCTGCTTGTGGTCTTTTGGGACTTGTGGTCGGGGTTGAGGGTGTGCAATGGTGTCCCATTGTCTGGCTGCTTCGATGAACGTTTGATCATGAGTTCCCGCTGTCTCTCTCATACGCTCTGGTAGGATCTGCCCTACCAATTCGTTGGCTGCTGTACATGAGGAAAAGAATGCTGGAAGTGCTACCTCAGTTGCCTTTCGTATGCCTATCCCTCCAAATCTCACTGGTAGTGTTGCTTGGTCCCACTGACTGTCATCTAAATCTAGGTTGAGCGCCTTCCTGAATATTGACCTGAGGAGCTCATCATATTGATTTAGAAGTGGGTTGCCAAAAGTTGGTGCACACCTTAAGAAGTATGTTAGCCTGGGCAAGGTAAGGCACTTTGTGAGAAGGTAGAGGGCATCGTGGGAGTCCAAGTCCCCAATTCTCTCTTCCATCCTCTTTAGGTCTCTAAACTTTTCGTCAAGGACCGCAGCAATAGCATTGTGGCCCAGAGGTGCTCCGAGTAGTGTGCTGTCGGTAGGTTTAACGACTGAGGCTTCTGGTAGAACTGATTTCACTGCTCTAATGATTACTTCACTGGATGCAATAATTTCGCACTTGGAGGGGTTAAGAACGAGACCCATGGACTCCCCCCGTGTCTTCACCAGCTGTAGGTCTTCTAGCAGGGAATCTTGTGTGCCTGCCAGAGTGCCATCATCCAGGAACCAGATGTTGAGCTCGCTGGACAGTCTGGTTGTAATTTCTCGAACCGCTATGCAAAAGAGGAACGGTGCAAGTGGGTCACCCTGTTGAATTCCCTCTGCTGAGGTGACTTCATGTTTGCCAAACAGGAGGGTTGAGTCTTTGCTGTAGCCTGCTGACACAAACGGGAGAATGCTTGGGCAATGTTCCTGGACTGCAGTGAGGATTGCTTCCCTTTTGACCGAGTTGAAAGCGTTTTTAAAAATTGTTTTTAAAAATTAAAAAAAAAAAAATTATATATATATATATATATATATATATATATATATATATATATATATATATATATATATATATATATATATATATATATATATATATATATGTTTAAATTTGTCTGATTTCCTTCAAATTAAGTTTGAATTGTAGCTAAACTTCAAGACTTTATTGTAATATTAAAAATAAAGCAAAACATATTTTGGATATTTTTTTGTGGGGGGGGGCGGGGAGGTCCCCATTAACCTGTAGCTCTTTTTGCTCATTGAAGAATCGAATTTCCTTCCCAAGATGTAAACTTATTACTGTACACCTGATGTTTTGCCATTCATGTGTGTGTTGCTATGCCAGTTGTAACAGTGAAAGGGAAGGGAACTATGAGGGGGGAAAGCACCAAGCCATTGCGACTATTTAGCACTGGGAAGGGGTCAGGTTTTGGGATGGGACCGAGCACCGAGTCTGCTCTCTCGGCCACAAAGGAGACCTGTCATCGTTTATCCAAAGTAGATATAGCGGCAGTTGTGAGTAATGACCCTGGAAAACAATTGGTATTTATACTTTTCCATATGCAAAGGTTAGAGTGTTGTCACAGCATAGCCCCGAGCTTCTGGGATGAGATGTGGTTAATGGTTGAACTAGGCATTACGCCACAAAGGGCCCTGCGGTATGCTTGAACTAATTAAGCAGCTTTCAGGCTGTGCTCCAATGAAAACAACACTTGGTCTGTACTTGTATTAACTGAAAAATAGAGCCTCAGATGCCCCGTGCTTGAAGCCTTGCTTGAAGTCCACAGTGCCATTCTCGATCCAAGGCACCTGCAAGTGTCTAGTGCAACATGACAGCTGGTCTTGAAGTCGTCCAACGACTTATGCCACTTTGGGGGAAATGTTAACAAG